TGGCAACAGAATTTAAGTGTGTTTGACCATTTCGATTATTACAATGTAAATCCATACAGAAATAAGCGAAACAAAAAGCACAATAAAAAAAACTTGAAAAAACTAACAACAAAACAAGAAAAAAGCTATGAAAAAGTATGATTTTTGTTTTTCAGTTTTTTTTTTTTAATAACTTGAAAGTAAATATACCAGGCAGGCGTCATTTGAAATTTCAAACAATACAGGTGCGCCAAAACTCGCACCCCAGAGAAAAATTCCATATAGGGTAAGATACCAGGATCATGAAAAAAATGTTGAGGGTTTGAGGGTATGAGGGTTTAAATTTTGCACTTTGACTCTATTTATTTCTGTTGGAAAAATAATTTTTCAAGTTTTTTTACTATAGGCTATTAAAAAAGGAAACAAGGAAGTTGTATCTTAAATTGTAGCTCTGTTCAATGTTATTTGTGGTACAAAAGTTTTGAACCTTTACTAAATAATTGTAAAAAAAAACATATACAAGATCATCAGTATCATTAAATATACATAAAAAATGTCAAATGTCAAAAAATAAATGTCAAAATTGTTTGACAGATAGAATTTTTTGAACATATTTTTAGTACTCTGGGAGACTACCCAATTACTCTCTTTGAATGAAATGCGCGACTTTCCCGACTAAAACATTTTGTTCTATCTTTTGAATAGTAATTATAAGAGGTTTTTGTCATCTTTCTTAATAAATAATCTATTTTTTAATAACTACAGCGTGCATCAGCAAGAACCGATCTTTAAAAAAAGTATATGGGTGTTTTTTCTGTTTGCAAGTAAAATTAATTTTTAAAATTTGCTTTGATTATTATTAATTATTATAAAGCTTTAACCGACACTAGAATATCTGAGACACTGGATTCTGTGTTAAGTAAATTTTTGTTTTGTATAGTAAATAAAATGAAAAAAGCAACGTTATTAAGGTATAAGGATAAGAAAAACAACATGAGAAAATACAAAAAAAAATAGTTCATGCTGGTGCAAGTCTTCCTACCAGTTCCCCGTCGCTGCTTTATAGTTAAACATTTTTTTTCATGTTCCTGGTATCTTACCTTACTTGAAAATATTCTCTGGAGTGCGAGTTCTGGCGCACTTGTATAAAAATAAAAACAAACGGTAATTTAAATAACACAAAGGGTAATGACGCCTGAAATATACATAATAAAACAAAAAACAATAAAAAACTACAAAAAAATATAGTTATATACAGTAATATATAGGTAACAATTTTTTTTTATATTTTAAATATGAACATAGTATTTTAGAGCTTACTATGTTATACAGGGTGATTCAGTGAAGTTGACAAAACCAATTTATATCTGCTGCTTTTTCGAAGAATAGCTATATATTTTTGATAATTTTAAATTAATCACAGCGGGAATATTGCTATCTTTTTTGAATTACTCTGCATTTTGTACATAATTTGAACTTTAAAATAGATGTTCGAGACTGGGTGAAACGCAAATTTGTTATAACTCTGGTCAAAGCCCAACAGGGAAACCCTTTTAGAAGAATATCCAAATCCGCATAAACTTTTCCACTCAATACTTTTTATTTCAGTGTCAATTGTATACATGTGACAGGTCGTTGCGCAATCCACCAATCGATCAGTGTTTTCCAGCGTCACGTGCCTGCGTCACGTGTCCATCGAAGCGGCAATTTTGACATTTCCAGAGCAGAAAATTTACATAATGCGCCTGAAACCGGGTCTTCCAACATTTAAAGCATTAAGTCAATGTCTCAAGACGGGCGCTCGCCGAGTCGAAACTTTCCTATTACCCACTTGGTAAATAACAGACGAGTTTTCAGGAGTTTCAGATTGGAATTTTAGCCCCGAAAGCAGCGTCGGTGCTAAAAGACCGGAGCTTTTTGTTCGCTGTGTATTAATTGGAATCCAATAACAGCCTTAAATCGACGTTCCGGAAAAATACGTGATTGATTTAAAACGGACGAAACAGGTCGCGCAAAAATAGACCAAAAAATTTAATCCAAATACCCGACAGAAGGTGGAAGTTAATTGAGTTTCTTGAAAATAAGTGTCTGGCTAATTTTTTGGGCGTAGGAGTTCTCCAATTTTGTTAACTCCTGAAATTCGATAAATTCTTTATGTCTTGCTCTCCTTTTCGTGCAGTTCTTGTATCGACTTAAAGCAGTGCCAAAAAAGGAATTTAATTCTACAATTAAGTGATCCCCTTGCGATTATAAAACTCAATTAAATGGTCACTAAAACACACAAACTTCCATCGAGGGAATAAATCGAATTATTACAAAGTTTGCTTTTTCTGTTTGAGTTAAGAAAACCGAGATCCACATTCCCCTCTTGAATTAGAAAGAGGTGCTACATTCAATATTAAAGAAAATTTACTGTAATTTTATGCATGAAAGTAGCTTTTTAAAGTAAAACAAACAATTTTTGCGGTCATAATTCAAAGTTTTTGATGCGCTCTGATTATCAACAACTTTTCGTTTTACCCATATATAAATTGGATGTTGAAACCAATTGCGTCACAAGCAGAACTCTAACTTTCCTGAAACGCAAAATGTTACCTGAAAACGGCTAATAAACTTCTCCACACTACTGAAATATTCATCTGATTCAGCCCGAATCACATCCATTCATGCATTTTTTTACGTGTTCCGTAATCGCCTGCAAAATTGATCTTTATTAACATTTTTTTTCAGGAATTTTCTTCATCTTGCCATGCATCGACGCCTACGCCAGAGTTGATCTGCGTACGAGGACCTACGATATACCCCCTCAGGAGGCAAGTATCCTAAACATTGAATTAAAATGTGACTTAAGGGAAGAAATGTCCCTTTTTTCGTGAATAATGTCGTCATGTTTCTTTTGTGAATACGCGTTTCGTTAAAATAATGATATACAACCTGAAGGAAAAGGTGGAAGAAGACAAGTTTTTATTTGGAAAGCAAAACAAGATCAACGACAAGGTCGATGTAATAGACACGGGTTGTCAGCTCGCAGGCTTGATGGATGTAAAGTTAAAAAGATTTACTGACTTTTTGCTATTGTTATTGATGCTGTGATTTTCGCATGCGCAATATTTTATTCAGAATTTAGATATGAATATGGAAATTGGAAAGAATTATAAATAATCAAAATTTAAAACTATCAATATCACCAACTTAACAACAAACAATTTAATTAAATAATAATCGTTTTCTCGTAAAAATTTTAAAAGAAGCATTTGGTACATTTAAAAGAAAAATTGAAAATAAGGACTGTAATAGTGTGAACATAAAGCTAAGGTCAAAAATACTGTAAAAAGAAACAAATGAAAGAAATAAAATTGTGTTTTACCAATATGTAATGTGATGTGTAAAAGTCTATTATTTTTAGATAATCTTTAGTTTAAGAAAATACCGAATGAAAATGCTATTTTGCGAGATTGTTATAAAAAAATACTTTTAAAATTTTTAAATACTGTGCTTATTTATTAATTATTCTAGTTAAAAAATATATATATTTGATGTAAACGACATGTTTTTCAGCTAAAATTATTTTTTTTGCAATAAAATAACTTTTTGGGTTTATTTATATTCAAATATTCAGAATTTTAAAACTTTGGAACATTGACAAAATTGTTAACTGATTCTCGCATGCCCAATATTTTATTCAGAATTTAGATATGAGTATGGAAATTGGGAAGAATGATAAATAATCAAAATTTATAACTATTGATATCACCAACTTAACAATAAACAATTTAATTAAATAATTATCGTTTTCTTGTAAAAATTTCAAAGAGGCATTTGGTACATTTAAAAGAAAAATTGAAAATAAGTACTGTAACAGTGTGAACATAAAGCTAAGTAGGTCAACAATACTGCAAAAAGGAACAATTGGTATTTTTACCAAAATGTAATGTGATGTGTTAAAGTCTATTATTTTTAGATAATCTTTAGTTTAAGAAAATACCGAATGGAAATGCTATGTTGCGAGATTTTTATAAAAAAATACTTTTTTAATTTTTAACTATTAATTATTTTAGTTTAAAAAAATATATTTTATGTAAACGACATGTTTGTCAGCTAATTTTTTTTTGCAATAAAATAACCTTTTGTGTTTATTTATATTCAAATATTCAGAATTTTAAAACTTTGGAACATTGACAAAATTGTTAACTGATTCTCGCATGAGCAATATTTTATTCAGAATTTAGATATGAATATGGAAATTGGGAAGAATTATAAATAATCAAAATTTAAAACTATCAATATCACCAACTTAACAACAAACAATTTAATTAAATAATTATCGATTTCTCGTAAAAAAATTCAAAAAAGGCATTTGGTACATTTAAAAGAAAAATTGAAAATAAGGACTTTAATAGTGTGAACATAAAGCTAAGAATGGTCAACAATACTGCAAAATGAAATAATTGAAAGAAAAAAAATTGTACTTTTACCAAAATGTAATGTAATGTAGATAATCTTTAGATTAAAAATACCGAATGAAAATACTATCTTGCGAGATTTTTATAAAAACAATACTTTTTTTAATTTTCAAATATGTACTGTGTTTATTTATTAATTACATTTGCTTTAGTATTTTTATTCAATCCTCTATGTTGAAATTGAATTTTATCTACTCCTTTCTTCATGTTAAAATGAAATTTTATCCTCTAGATGATAAAAGATACATCTATTGTTGTATATCTGCGGTTGATTGTTGTTAACGATCTTTAACATTAGATTTCATTGTTGAATTTTACATTGTCATTTATAAATATCCATACCAAATTGACTACAAAATTAGTGAGGATTGAATAAAATTTTATATTGTACACGACGATAAAATTTTCATTATCTTTTCGAGCATATTAGCGTCTCGGCTGACGCCTTGACGCTAAATTGCTCTCAAAGATAAAATTCAATTTTATCGTCTTGTATATTAATAACTATTATTACTCCTGAATGCTATTTATTATTTCAGTTTTTGAAGTAAAATATTTGATGTAAACGACATGTTTTTCAGATAAAATTATTTTTTTCCAATAAAATAACTTTTTGTGTACATTTATATTTAAATATTCAGAATTTTAAAACTTTGTAACATCGACAAAATTGTTAGATGCATTTAATTTAAAAATTTAATTTAATTTAAAGCTAAAATGTAGTGATTTTTACCGTTTTTCCTTGCTCTAAAAAAATAATTTCTATTAATACCTATTGTTCATTATTCTCTTAAAAACAGATTTTGTTCAAATTTTAATATTGTTGGACTATCTCCTTTGTGTAGGTTTTGACCAAAGACAGCGTGACCGTGTCCGTGGACGCCGTGGTCTACTACCGCGTCTCCAACGCCACCGTCTCCATCGCCAACGTGGAGAACGCCCACCACTCGACTCGCCTCCTCGCCCAGACAACCCTCCGCAATATCATGGGCCAGCGCCCCCTGCACGAGATCCTCAGCGAGCGCGAGAGCATCTCCCAGCACATGAAGGCCCTCCTCGACGAGGCCACCGACTCCTGGGGGATCAACGTAGAACGAGTTGAAATGTGAGCCTTCACATGTACTCCCACCCCAACTCACTCCTCTCTTCCAGCAAAGACGTGCGATTGCCCATCCAATTGCAAAGGGCCATGGCGGCCGAAGCCGAGGCTGCCCGCGAGGCCCGCGCCAAGGTCATCGCTGCCGAAGGCGAACAGAAAGCCTCTCGGGCTTTGCGAGAGGCCTCGGAGGTGATTGGGGACTCCCCGGCTGCGCTCCAACTCAGATATTTGCAGGTAGGTTAGCACGAGTGCTTTTCACGCTTTGGTGCTTTGGATCATTCACAAGCATGGCTCACTTGGGCGCTTTTCTTGCAAAGACACTTCAAAGTTTAGGGCTAGTGGGGTGAAGGGTGTCTCAACTTTTTGCTTTGTTGGTGAACTTTGGGTGCTTATTTAGTGATTTTGTTTTTGTTGAGAAACACCCTCTTAGTGGCTTATGTTAATCGGGACAAAAATAGATTTAACTTAGTGGGTATTAGTTTTTCTTCTAGTTTTTAGTGGTTAGTTCCTAGGGTGGGAAGTATAAGGAAGATTATATTAATCTAGCGGTTTGATTCCCACTTTAACAAATAATTTGAAAATTTATGTTTGTCACGACTAACAAGGATTTCTTCGGCGTCATCACGTTGTTTCCTTTAAGTAGATTTTCCTGTCCACTTTTCACGACATTAAAAACTTAGCTTAAGCCTCATTTTCATGCAAGATCTCTCTTTCGACTCGGAAAACTTTCAGTCGGTTATAATAATCGTTTCGGGGCAAATGGGCCGGCTTGAATGGTATTGATGATGGCTGGGATGGAAGACAACTATGAATTGCGATTTACCCTTTTAAAGGATGACGAATGGGGCGCGATGTCTGACTTATATAAAAGGGTGTGCACACTCATTGGCTTTCTCGAAAATGGAACAACTTTCGAAAATTCAGGGATTGGTTTTCGCATGCTGGTTTTGGTGTTTCTATTATTATTAGTGACATATTTATACCACTTCAAAATACGTTTTTACAATAAAAATATGTAAAACCTTATGATTTCACATTTTGTTGTTTACGCATTTTTTTTATGATTATACACAACTGTGATTTTATTTTAGAATATACAGGTGCGCCAGAACTCGCGCCCCAGAGAAAAATGGCATATAAGGTACTCGTAAGATACCAGGAACATGGAAAAAATGTTAATTTTTTTTTATCTATAAACATTTCGAAGTTATGAGGGTTTAAAGTTTGCACTTTGACTCTATTTATTTCTGTTGGAAATATAATTTTCCAAGTTTTTTTGCTATAGGCTATTAAAAGAGGAAACAAGAAAGCTATATCCTAAATTGTAACTCTGTTCAATGTTATTTGTGGCTTTTATTGACAACATTTTTGTACCTTTACTAAATAATTGTAAAAAAACATATACAAGATTATCAGTATCATTAAATAGACATAAAAAAAGTCAAATGTCAAAAAATAAATGTCAAAATTTTTTGACAGATAGAATTTTTTAAACATTTTTTTCATGTTCCTGGTATCTTACCTTACTTGAAAATTTTCTCTGCGGCGCGAGTTCTGGCGCACCCTGTATTTTTTTAGAATTTACGTATATTGTAATTCTGTATTTTTTTAATACTCTTCTTAAACCAATTAAAATCGTGATATTTTTTCTCATTTCAATTAATTTGAACACTCATTTATCGGATTTAAGCATCATCTAAATAGATCGTACTATAATTAAGTTAAAAATAAATCGCAATTTGACATAAATAGAGCCGGCGAAAGTCGTTGAACTGAACATTTTGACAAGTATTTGATTTATTTTTACACTTCTTTGTGGTTCAAAGTATTATTCTTTAAAACGATTGTTTTATTAAGACTGCCAAATGACTAGTTTTTGTAAAAATACTGCTGCAATTGTTGGTTTCTAAAATAATTTGAATTTTTTGGAATAGATAAAGCGTGAATTAAAATATTAATTGCGTTATTATTTTTTTAGTTTTGCGAATAAACAGAAATATTTAAGTAAACTTTACGTGATGAATTTAATTCTGTATCTAATAAAGTGTTCGTAACCAAACAACAAAGTTATCTCAAGTAAACACGATCTAAAATCTCTATTCACGTTGCTATTGAAGTACAGAGGGTTTCTCTACTTCTAAAGTGGACTTAAAATCAGTTAAATAACTTAATCTAATTACACTTTTGTTTGATGCTGATTGGTATCGAGTTTAGTTTGAAACAGTTTCTAATTTTGGGGTCAATCTTCTAGGATTTGAGAATTTATTTTTTCGTTTTAAATTCATTTATTATTGAAAATAATCACACAATGCAATTCCCTATTTGAATTTAATTCAACGTAATTTTTTCGTCAACAAAACTGTCAATTTAGAATGAGACTATTTAAAAAATTTATATTATTGTAGATTTAAACGTGATTTAAACAGTTACTGTCTAGTTTCGAATTGGTAGATTCTGTATGTGATTTCATTTAGTAAGAATGAATTAGGAATCTTGAAGTATCCATTTTAAAATCTCGTTTGAAATAAGATAGCATTTTTCTGTAGTTCCAAATTTTTTTTACAACTAATAAATTTTTACTTGAAGTTTTTGTGAATGTAGTTTTTGATTTAAAAACTGTAACAATTGTGAACAGAAACTAGATTATACAAACAGCTTTTGTTATTATTTTTTGAAAAACTAACTTATAAAAGTGTAAAATTTGCATATTTTTTAAATATGCTATTTAATTAAACCAAAAGTTTTTTAACAAAATTTTAAATTTTGTAACTAGATAATTATATTTAGTTGGGCAAACTTTTACTGAACAACAGCGACAAAATTTATTTAAGTTTAAATTGTTTCCTGGTACGTGATTTTGTCAAATGACAAATTTAACATTAATATTTCCCGTTGTTTCCATATTGATTTTCTTTCATTTTTTAAAAACTCTAACTTTCAGACACTCTTTTTATTCAGAATGGTTTGTAAGTCATGAATATTTGATTAGACACATGTTCGTATGAATTTTTATTCGCAAAATATTTATTTGCTTGCCAGCACTTGAAAACCGATCCTGAAACACAAGGAATGTTTTTACGGTGATGTATTGCCATCTGTTCGCCTTTGCGACACTAGCTTGCTGAAAACCCTGAAAAATTTACGATAGAGTTACGTTCCCCGTGTGTTAAACTCAGGCCTAACAATATGATTTAATCTTCCTTGTATGAAGTCCACTGTAGTTTAGTGCCAACAATCCGTGGTTCCGTCTCTGATTGATTGCTTCCATGTCAGACCTTGAACACGATATCGACGGAGAAGAACTCGACGATCGTTTTTCCGCTGCCGATTGATATTATTTCGTACTTCATGAAGTGCAAAGGGGCGGCCGATAACCAGAGTCCTTTCTAAGGACGCGAGATGGTCCTGTAATTGCGCCAAGCCATCGAAATTTATGTCCTATTAAATGATGTATGTGTCCTTGTCGCCGTTAGTGTCTTTCCTTAACATTATATTATGTGTAAATCTCGATTTATTGAGGTGTTTTGTTTATTCGTTCTGTGGGCTCTTTTGGACGTTTATATTGAGGCACAGTGTACACTCGTCTTTCAATATTACATGTATACAACGTCACCGTTTAGACTAATTGAGATAATAATAGCGATAATGCACGTTAGGTAGATTGCTGTTCCGATGGCTGGATGTAGAGCCGCACGCAATTGACAAGTGACATTTTCATTGCGTGCGACTGTACATGCGCACATATTTAAAAATGGCGACAAAAAAGCATAAAACAACTGTCTGAAAATTTCATTGTTAATAATTAAGTTTGCTACGAGTTTCTGGAGTTTATGTAGCACTTGTTTAACGCCGAACACAGATAATAGAGTTTTATTAAGTTTTATCACAAAGTTTAAAGAACCATGAAAGTTCTACCAATTATCTTACAATTGTTTTGTTGAAAAAAATGAGCATAAAAACTAATAAAAAATATAAAAACGAAAAAATAAATCGATATAAATGCGAAAAATAAGAATCAGTTAAAGAGAATTGATAGTTTCATGGTTTGAAACAGTTGTACAGGGTGACCCAGTTAACACTGTTATGATAAAATTTTTATCAAACTACAGAGTGTGTCAGAAATGGGTGATCAGATTTTAACTTTTTCTCTGGTACTGTAAAAACTGTTTTCACACAAAATTTCAAAATATTTTGAAAAAATTTTTCAAACATTTTATGTGTTTGATAATATTATTGAAACTAAAATTTTCTTAATTATCTCTTGAACAACCTGAAAAAACTTATTTGTACTATATTATTTCTTATACTTACGTATTGTTTTCTAAATCAAAAATGTGTGGTAATTGGCTCACTTATTTCTAAAACACATGTTTAAATATAAATTTTTACAAACTAAGTGTTTTTACAATGCAAAATATTTTAAGTATTTTATTGTTTTTCTGGTACTTTCTTTCCACAATTTCTCTAAAAAAAGTCTCAAATGGGACAACACTTTATTTGTATATGTAAAATTGTGTAAAATATGCTCACTTATTTCTGATACACACTGTAGAGTTAAACTTGGAACAATAAGATGAATATAAAATTTTTACAAAACTGTAGGTAGTATTAATTTCAAAATGCTGTGAAGTATAAACACTCAAAATCAGATTTTTTGATTACTGATTAACGCATTTGACCTTGACTATCTACAGCACTTTGAAACATAGTTATGCTAATAATTTATGGTGTTTTTATTTATTAAGCGAAAAGTTTAACTGAATCATCCTCGTATATACAGAGCGTCTGAAAGCTACTTTTATCAAAAATGAACAGTGATAGTTTATTTTTTAGAGGCACTATTTTATAATCTTTTGAAGTTTGTTTAATAATAGTATAAACAATATCACATAATATATAAAATGTTTATTGTTAATTAAGTATTTAGGGTATAGATAAACTTATACATTTTGTATAGTTTTGACGGTAATAGGGTCCACCCCACTTAAACACGGCACATCACGACACAAGTATTATAAGCACGTTGTTTTACGTGGATCACTCTGTATAGTAATTTTAGATGTTTTTTATTGGCCTAGAATTTTGAGTGAGACTTTCGTCGTGCCAAATTTCCTAATTAAAAATCAAATTAAAAATTTACAGGGTGGTCAGTAATGTAATTTTTTACTAATCACAAATCGATAAATCTGATTTACATAAAATAGGCTGTGCATAAGAGAGCCATCAAATCCTCTGTGTTATATTTAAGAAAAAAGGGCTAAGCCTGCTTAGTATTAACAAACCACTTATCAAATATAAATATTCGTGTACTGTTTAAAGTTTTTTTCGCTGTCATTCATGTCATCAGCTTCTAGATCTATGTAAATAGTAGATGTGACCGGAATTTTCGATGTACCCGGAAATCAGTATGTACCAATTTAGATTGTTTTTCGAAGCCACCATCACGTCTGTATTTTGAACCACAGTTTTTCTACTAATCACTGTACTGACTCATACAATAAACAAGACTTAATAGAGCATCTGTTTTGCTTTTGATCTGACACTGTCACCGTTGCTTGATTTTCGGACCACTCTACGATGTCTCGTAATGATTTGCAGACTCTTAACACAATCTCAGCTGAGAAGAATTCGACAATTGTGTTTCCGCTACCTATTGATATGTTGACGTACTTCATGAAGGCTCACGAGGCCGCCTCTTCGTAAAGGGGCGCAATTTGCGGGCTTGTTATCGACGATGACAGCGGGGGATTTTTTGCAGATACTCATTTACACGATGTAAGTTTTAAACGATCACATTTTCGGGCACAGTTTATCAAAATAGTTGTATTATAAAATAGCTGTTTTTCAATGTTCTTATTGTATAAAAATGTATTATAATAATGGTTAAATAAAGTTCTATTTACTACTTTAATTTTTTTACGGAAAAATCTAGGATATAATCTTCCTTGTCGCATCCCCACTTAGACTAGTGTCACGTCTTTAAAATTTGTTTGATTTTTGTCAGACTCTGAACTCGATATCGACAGGAAAAAATTCGACAATTGTGTTCCCTATTCCACTTGATATTGTCTCATATTTCGTCAAGTTCGAAGAAGGGATGGAGAATTTTCTAAAATAAATGAAATAATCGCCGAAGCATTCATGTATAACGAGAATAAATGTGTCCTTGCACCAATGGTGTCCTTGAAACGATGTCCAAACCCTCGCAGTGATGTAAATATATGTTCAAGCACGGTGTTCACACTATTATATTGTTGTTCTAGAATTAGTGCCAATATTCTAAAAACAACTATTGCATGTTAGATAATAATGTTTCGTGTTATGTAAACGCACTGTAAGGATTTGAAAGGTCCGTAAACTAAAAAGTACACTAAATTCAATGCAAGATGAATTTTGTACAAATTAAGCCAAATGTAGTGCCAAATTTGTCAGTGTTGTACGAAAAATCAAAACTGGAGATTACAGGGTCATTGATAGTGTATCTCTTTAGGAACTGGTTTATAAATAAATCAAAAGTTTAAATAAGGTTGTGCCTAAAATAAAAAAAAAAACAAAACTCTTTGTTTGAGTTTTTTTAATTAAATTGGGAACAAAAATGCACAATAACTACGTGTTTTTTTATGTTTATGACTTTTTTGTGGATCAGATTTTGACACACTGTGTATTTAATGATCAAAGAGGTGTTAATTATTGTTACATAATTAAAAAAATATTGTTGGTTTTAAAAATGTTTAACAATAAAAACTCAAATAAAATAGAGTATTTGTTAAAAAATACTAAACGACTAGAATTAATTGTATCATCTACAGGCTTGTTATACATTTTTAATTACTGATTCTTAAATTTTAAAAAGCGACAGATTTAATGAGAGGACTACACATTGATCTTTATTACATTTATTGAAAAAAAAGTTTTGATAATAATCATTGTTTTTATGCTGTTTTTTTTTTGTAAAAACGTCGGTAGGGACAAATAGAAATAAATAGAGTTAATAAAGCTGTTTTGCTAATTTTGGGCCATCCTGTATATAGAATGCAATGCAGAGTACCTAAATTTACAAATCATATTCTATGTGATTCAAAAAGTTTTAGTAAGAATTTTTAATTGAACTGCAAGGTAAAATTTATTTTAAATTTATCATTTATTGTTTTTAATTTTTGAGTGTATTTTTCAATTTTTATCAATCACCCGGTATGTAGTAATGCAAAATCTTCCAAAATCAAACAAACATATAAAAGACTTGTGTAATATCAAATTTTGTCAAGTAGATATGGCCTATACTTATGTAATCAACCAAAAAATTTATTAAAATTTGTGATGACGCTAGCAACGTAAATTGTACAATTTTTGTAGTAGAAATAATATTATGTATATGTAGAACTATAAACAAACACTTTTTGTATTAATTTGCTTGTTGTGAAAAAAATTGTTAAATCACTTTATTAATAAATGTTTGTGAATGTATTATATACATGTATGTACAGTTGAGAGCAAAATTAACGTGAAAGATAAAACACGTTCACTTTAATAGTGCTTCCGACACAATTTCTCCACATTTTTTGAAATAAAAACTAAACCACTTTGAAATATTTATTTATTTATTGCACCCTTCTTAACTTTAACAAATTAATAGAATTTTGAAAAGCACACTGTTTTTGCATAACACATAGACATATTTTTTTTAATAACTGTTTAGTGAAAACTTGCAAAATATGAAAGCTTTGGGATAACTGAAAACGGGACCCCAAATCAACTATTTTCAGGAAAAGTCAGGATTCAAAGTAAAGGTCTGAATTCAAATTTGAATTTAAATTGGATTTCTTTTGTGAAATTCAAATTGAGTTGTACTTAAATTCATAAGAAGACACGGATGTTTTATAAAAATTTTATTAAAAACCTGGTTTATAACATAGTTTGTACTAAAAAATAAAAACATGCACCATTGTGATACTTATTATCTTAAAATTACGCAGTAAAAACGGCAGCCATTTTGCATTACGACGGCTATTAATTTTTTCACATTTCCCTATAATAGAAGTTTTACAACATTCATAAATCCGAACCGTTTCATGTTTTTTACAAAAAGTGAAATATGCGAGCTTTTAATTTCCTATTATCTTCCATATTTGACAAATTAAAGTCTAAAAATGAAACAATATGTTGCATTTTAAGCCAGATTATTTGTGCACGGTTGTTGGACGTAATTCAGGCAAAATCCTTTGTTGGCGACATCATTTGGTGCTTCAGTACTGTCGGTATGAAACCACAGCCTGAAAGGCTTTACCGTGCCTGAAACGCAAACATTTCAATCCTAGTTCAAATAAATTTTGCTAATTATTAAACAAAGGAAAAGTGACAATAAAAAGTCGATCGATTAATGGCAGCTTTACGTGCTTTAATGTCAATAACATTAGATTTATAACAAACATTTACAATATGGCATTTGGTTTGTGATTAAGGGATGAGATGAGCGAACTGTTGCGAGGATTTATCGGTCAGGTGGTATTAAATGCGATGGTTCTATTAATGGACGGGATTTTGTGATTGTAGTGTGTGTTTAAATGTATTCTGTTAGAATTTTTTTTTGTCTGAATGGAAATCAAATGTAATTAAATGTAAATTATCCCGGCGCATCCACCATTTTTGATACAATAAATGGTAATTTAGTCTGTCGTTTGATATTCAAAGCGATCGGTTTTGAAGCCACCTAAATAACCAAAAAAGCTATTAAAGCTTGATATTGTATGATAATAAATTTAATAACTTCGAGATTTTTCACATATTAAAAGTTTCAAGAAAATTAAATAACAAATTTAGATTTTATTTCGAGGTCAGTTTAATATCAAAGGTAAGCAATTTTATTGCTTTTGAGAAAGTTTTATTTGTTATAAGTTGAAGAATCAACTTTATTAAATTCCAATCGTCTAACTCATTTATGTAATTTTTTCAGCTTATTTCTGCCGTATTAAATACTCTCATACGTCTGTAAAAATTCTAATTTACTTAAAAAAATGCAAAATCTTTTAGTGTTTACTTAATATACTAAAGTATCTATCTTTAAATCGTTTTAGTCAAAGTTTATAAGCAAAATATGATTTTTTTAAACTTTTTTATATTCAAATTTTATACACGTTTCGATTAAAAGTTGCATTCGACATTTAATTTAAACAGAGTTTATGCAACCGTTTAGAAATTAAATTTTTGCATGAGCACACAAACGAATAATTACTGTTTTTACAGAATTAAGTAAACTAAAATTGTATTTGTTTCACAGGAAATTGAATTTTGTGCATTGCAACTTTGCGACTTTGTGATAATAGTAGTTAAAACTGAGTACTTTGTTTTAATCAATTACTTAATGTTACTAATTGTTATTTTAGATATTCTACGTTGCTGCAATGTGGAATAAATTACGAATTATCTCCCGGCGCCTCCACCGTTTTGCTCCTATATAACACCGAATTTTATATGGCCCAAAGCCATTAATTTTACACCTATTTTGGTGTAAAAATTTTATTTGGTTGAGTGCTTTTTGCAACAAAAAACATTTTTATGAATAATTACAATGAGAAACAATTTTTTGTGATTTTATTCACTTTACTCTAAAAGTGACACCATTTACATTTTACTCTTTTAAAACAGAAATTTATCATTTTATAAATGTAAAAGGTAAGTGTAAGTCTTTTATTTTTCATTTTATTTAATTTTTTTGTTTACACAAAAAACACTATTTTTATTTATCACAAAAGTTGTGTTATTTAGATGTTTGTTTAGTTTTAATGAACATTTTCTAGTGGACATTTATGATGTTTAAGTAGAAATTTTAAATTTTTTTCTTTTCTAATTATGGATTTTTTTTATTATAAATTCCTTTCCTCTCTCCACCTCAAAATTTAAAAAAAACACTAGTTACTCACTTCTAACCGGAGTTGACTGAAGCGTTACATCGGCGCTCAGAACTCCTCCACATATCCTGTCGACATTCGCAGACGGGCCGGTGGCAGGTCTCCCCACGTTGGTGGCCATCGGAATGATAAGATAATCATTTTGACAGAAATTTGACGATCCTGTACTGCCCACCATCGCCTGTACTGCATTATTCGAGTTGCCCGAAAGAGTGAACGACTGACTCCGATTATGTGCTGAAATTTTGTAATTTAATTTTCAGGCATGAGTGACGTGCGTCTTTTTCAGGCGATCGAAGTCGGGAAATGTGCTGTTAAATTGAAACCTAGTGTGGCAAAGTTTTTTTCGTTTACTATTGAGATAAACGTTGGGTGGGTTGGGAAAGAAGTTTGTTCTACTTTGCGTTTAATGATTGTAAGCGACGACGTTGTGAATAAATTTATAGCAGAGAAGTTTTCAAAAATAAATGCAAACTGGGTTTTTGTCTAAACTCTCTAAAAACGCAATTGTTGCTTTGAGTGAATTCATTATCCTTGGAATTAAATTGGAGTTGGAGTTGGAAATTTATGAATGTTTAGTTTTCTTGCTTTCATTTGAATGGTTAAATAACTTGGGGAAAAATGCTTGTGACTGACGGTTTAATGAAGCAGGTTCGTTAATTTCACCGATGGTTATACAAATAATAAATAAACATTTTGCTCGGGTTTTGTTTGTTTTTATTTTTTAAGTTACGGAATATAAAAATGATGACTATGCTGTTTTTACGTTTTTTCTTCATTTCCTCTGATATTTCTAGGGTCAGCATAAAAATGTATATATCTTTATGCTGACAAATATATTGTAAACATATGTAAATTTAGATTTGTTGATACCTTAAAGGTGTTGAAAAAGTTGATGAAATATTTTTTTTAGATTTTATCTCTTGCTTAATAATAGTTAAAAGTGAATATTTAATACACCTATTTCAAATAATGCATAAAATCTTGCAATCGGCATTAATTAACAAAATAACAGAGGTTGAAATGTTAATTTCAGAGTAATGTTAGAGCGACAAAGTATTAAGTCCAAAGTGAGGTGAATTGTATCTAATTAAAAAATATATATATTTTGTAAGCAAAAAAAACATAAAACCACCATGTAGTAATTTGAGTCGGAATAAAATAATACAAATCGTTAATAACAGAGTTTTTCATGGAAAAAAGATTTTTTTACAATCAACGTTGTTGATTAGTACTGAATTTTTACGTGAAGCTCCCAAAAAATGTTTGACAACCGGAATAACCATAGTTGATCAAAAAGAAAAGAAAATTCCCATAAACAAAACCTCAGATAATATACAAATACATATAGAAGACAAATTAGAAGACTTTTTTGGACTTTGGTAGCTTTTATTTCTTGTGTCTCAAGAAAAAAAATGTGGAGATAAAAGCTAATTTATTTATAAATTACATGAAGTTTTTTGGATTTAATTAACAGGCATAGGAAAATTATATTTTAATAGAAATTTCACAGAAAATTTTAAATTTCAATTTAGAAGAAAATCTTTAAATTTGCCATAATTACTCTTTCAACTTAGAAATGAACGAAAAGCGATCAGTAAAGCAAAATACGATAACCAGAGGAATATCAGAACTATTACAGAAACCATCTTCATGCAAAATGCTGAAAATTTTCTGGAAGACAATTAACTTTTCCTATTAATAAATATTTTGTTAAAAAAAAAATATTATAAGTTAAATGCATTGAACAATAATTTACACCTTAGACTTAAGTTATTTTAGCTTTTTTGCATATTTAAAAAAATAATGGGTAGGGCGCTAAAGTATTAAGTCTTTTTAGTGCCTTTTATTACTAAAAATAAAACAAAATCAAATATATTTTGGTTAATCTGCTAGATTCATTTACAATAAAATATTCCAGAAAATAATAACCATTGTGAAATGTTACATAAAATTGTGACATTGGTTTCCAATTGAAAATTTTTGTTTTAAACTACTTTTGAATATTAGGCATTTTGGACTTACGATGTTTTTGCTCTAAGGTACTGATCTACATGGATTTTTGACTTAGTTCTTTCAACAAATTTAAATTTCTAACCCAATTTAAATAAATATTTAAATGATTTAAAAACAAAAAACAAGTCATGGTATTTAGACAAAGTCATATGTTGGTATTGTTTATTTTTCTTTCAAGCTTAACTGATCTAAAAGCAGAATACACAATTCTGTAACGTTGAAAAATTACAGACGCAAAATTTTGTTATTTCGGTAGAAATTGTTAAATTCTAAGTTTTAATTTTTCTGATAAAGGTTTTGCATTTTCAATGCTTTGCTATCCGAAAAGATTTAAAAACATTTATAAATCTAAATGAGAAATTTATTTCTTAAAAAACTATATAACAAAAGTTTAGAAAAGACAAATGACATTTTTATGCAATGTTTACTGTTTTTTACTCTTACATTTTTACTTTACTAATTTTTTTCTGGATTTCTGTTCTTGCTATTTTTTTTTCGGATACGTGATAATATAAAATTTTTTGAACATTTGAAACTTTAGTTCTCACTTGTCAAATTGTTAAAGATTCTTATACCTTATAACAATTTTTAAAATTTTCAAAGTTTTTAATGAAACTTTTCAAGCTCACAACTCTAGTTATGTCTCACCCTGTTTATATTAAACAATTTTGTTTGTCACCATTCTTTGAGTTACATCGTTTCTCTGAAACTCCTAAATTATATTGGTCGACAAATTATTTAATCCTATTGGAAGATATCAAATAATAGTGAGCCATTCCGAGATAGTGATCAAAGGGATACCAATCAATTAATTAAATTGGTTTCACTTGAGTGTAAATACAAGTTTGATCAGTTTTGGTCAACTGTATCCTAGCATTTTATTTAAAGTAAATTTCGTTTTAGAAGATAAAAAACGAGGGTTTGGGTTGGGAGGCAAAAACCTCCACCTGTGTCCATAGCAGATAATATCGATTCTGTAACACAATTTTGGAGAATCAACGAGATTTGCAAACTGAATACTAAATATTTCCGTGTATGTTCCAACGTAATTCGAGTTATAGGTTGCTTTGCTGAAAATGCAAAAATATTTCTCTATGAAGCAACAATAAATTTTCTTATTGAAAAAGTGTGTTTATGCTTAATTTAACTTTTAACCCACATTTTGCTTCCGCACGAAAATTGAAAAACGCGATATTTCACCCAAAATAAATTCCAATTTTTTCACCTGGATCATCACACTGGGAATACTGCACACCACAAAAATTCCTCTCATTCCTTATACAAATGCTGTAATCTTGATTGGACAGTTGCAATCCACTCGTCGGATCATAATTAAACGACCGGATCTGGCCTGCAACCCCTGTGAAGTACTGCAAACAGCCCTCTTCGGCTGAAACGCAAATTGTCAGTTATTGTTCGAGCTTTGAATGCGGGTTATAGTACCGCGGTAAATGGAGCTGCAAGCTATTTGTGTAATGCGGATTTTCCAGTTACGAGGAAACATCGGGCCACTTGTTACGACTGAAAGAGTAACTGGATTCGACGCTCCGGTGCCGGCATCCACGTACACTGGAATCAGACAGATTGAGTGTTGGGGTAATTGGAAAGTTGGGGGGGTTGTACGGTGGTTGCCGACGTTGTTACCGCAGATGGGGGGGACGGGGGTGCCTCCGGAGACGATGAATTGGTCATTGTTGCAGATGTTGTTGGTGGGTTCCGGACCCATTAGAGAGAATTGGTCAAAATCTAATCTAGATTTACAAAAGAAAAACAAAAAGGAAAACCAGGCTAAGATTATTAAAATTTACAATTTTTAGAAATATGTATTGAATTAAAAAAAAATCATAAAAATCAAAACCTGAGTTGTTTTATTTTTCAATGAGATAATTATTTTATTGTAAATGTAAAACTTTTGTTAAAAAAGCTTTGTTTTTAGTAGATACGTATAGTCGTAGTCACGTAGTGACTAAAAAAATTCATAAAAATTCTCGATTTTTATAAAACGTGAGCATGTTGTTTCACGTATAACCGAATTTCACCAAATAACTACGACATACAGGCTGTTCGGTTCAAGTCGCCTCGGCCGATAACACCTAAACTTAATTGTTTTTTTCAAAAACTAAATTTTCAAATAATACTATTCATTCCTCGTTTTTTTGGTAAATGCATCAAAATTTTTTGGCACATCCAGTGTAGCCGGAAATGCTACCAAATTTACTTTTTCAAATGGAACACCTATGTTTTTTTCCTTGAAACAAAAATAATTGACATGAAAGATACGGTAAACCACTATTTATTACATTTTACTTTACATAATGCACTCAAAAAACAATTTAAATTTTTGAATTTTATTGCAAATTTTGTAACGTAGGCGCATTTTACTTGTCAAGGTATTCATGAAAAAAGCAATATGCTTGGATACCGTTTAATTCTTAGTTTGACAAAGCCTAATTTGTCAATAAATCTTATTGAGATCTTTAATAATGGATGTTATTAATTACGACGAATTGGTAGATCAGCTTGAAGTGTTTTTTAAGTGCAACAAAAATAGAGCGGAAGCTGAAAGACAGTATAGAGAAAAATACTCAAATAGAATTCACCCAAATCGTTGAAAATTTAGTCGAACTGAAAAACAACTGAGACGAATAGGTTCGCTTCTTAAAACTAAAAAACCTGTGGTTCTTTGTGAACAAATAGAAAATAGAAATCTGAATGTTCTATTATCAGTCGAAGAAAATCCAAGAGTTTCCATAAGAGAACTCGCTCATAAACTGACAAATTAAATTTGTCAAACCAACAATTAAATGTATCCAAGCATTTTTTTTATTCACACCTTTCCTTTAAAAATAAGAATCAGGCTACGCTACCAATTTCCTTATAAAATTCTAAGATTTAAGATGTTTTTTGATTGCATTGTGTTACGCAAAATGTAATAAATAGTGGTTTACAGTATTTTTCATGTCAATTATTATTGTTTGGAGGAAAAAAACATAGGTGTTCCATTTGAAAAACTAAATTTGGTAGCATTTCCGGTTACACCGGATGTGCTAAAAAAATTTAATACATTTATTAAGAAAGCCAAGAATGAATATTATTTCTTAAATATTTACTTTGGACCGAACACCCTGTATACAGAGTGAATAAAAAGTATGGAACCACGGTTTTTTTTTAATTATTTGCCTCTAGAAAATAATAATTAAGATAAAAATTGTGATCTTATTTTGAGAATGAAATTTTGTTTTGTTTCTGTGTTAGAAATGCGATTTTTTTTGTCAAAATTGCAATTTATGTAAATTTTTTTAAATTAAATATAAAGTAGATACTTGTAATCCTTAGATCACAACTTGCATGAAAAAAATGGTTTTATAGTGGGTTGCTATTTAAAATGTAACTTTTTTTGTAGAACTTAAAAATAAATAAAAAATAGAAAATTTTATTCTTGATAAAACATTCAATATTTAGTTTTTGAAAAAATAAATAGTTTAAGCAAAAAACGTTTAATTCTATACTTTTTATTCATCTGGTAGATGGTGTAATAAAGGAGGATGTTAAAACTTAAAAAAAAATGTAATGAAAAAAAAAGGTATAAATTATATCGGACAAATAAATAAAAGTATGATTACGTAGAATTTTTTACTTATATTTCTGAGGTTTTTTGTAAAGTTTTCTATAGCGTACTAAAAAGCTCATGTACCATTTTTGCATTTTATATTAAAAGAATGTACAAAATTGTATTTCAAAATATTTTTTTCTAATTTTTATTTGCTAAATATCAATCCAGAAGCTAATGAATTTTCTTAGTTAACAATCATCGATTTATTTATATCATCGCCGTCTCCATAGAAATAATCCTTTTCTCGCCTGGGCATTTTTTGAGTTCAACTGATTCCCGTTGGCGCTTTAATCTGGGGAAAATTTTTGACAGATTTTTAGCTTAAAGGGTTCAACCTCATAATATCAATTCTCTCTGGCGTATCTGGTTTTGTTGTATCCTTCCTTCTCTGCTTTTATTAATTGCGTTATTTTTCGTTAATAATTCAAAATCATTCAGTTTTTCCTTAGGAAAAATCGGAATCACTGCTCCAATGCATTTTTTACGAAATGCCCAGGTGGGATATTGATAAATTTGATTAAGGAGGCGGTGATTTATATTCACTAGCTTCTGAACTATATAAAAAATAAGTATACTTAGGTATATATATAACATTATATATAACATTTTTTTAATGTTTGAAATTTAAAGACATGAAAAAAAATATTAGGTTGTGATAAATAAAAAAAAAAATACCCGTACAGTATACAAAAACTTATTATGATGTTGAATAATTTTAAAACTTTAAATTGCGTTTAAAAATACAAAATAAAAACTTCCAAGTGTAATAATTAGTTTTCAAACTCTGGAAAATAATAAAAATCAAATAAAAGTCTAATAGACCTAAAGAGCATTGAAAGTTGTAATTTACGAGTAAATCGCTTAAGGACTTCAAATAAAGCAATTACTTCTCTAGGCATTTTTGATGCTTCACCCTGAAACCAATTATGAACCTTATTGCAGCCAAATAGGTTCTAATCAGTAATGCTATTGTTGGAAAATCTGCTGTAGCTTTTCAAAGGAGCTTTGAAATATTTTCCAAATAAGGTAAGTATTGATTTTTTATAGTATGTATAATTGTCTTTATATAAATACTAGCTGCTGTCCGCGGCTTCGTTCGCGTGGTAGTTTGACATCTACAACTATTTCAAAACGCAGAAGGGCTAAGAAACTTACTAACAAAATATAGCAACACATAATTTATTATGAACTTCGTAGTAAAAATAAAAAGTCCGTCTTTTATAACTTATTTAAAAACCGTAAAATTTTAAGTCTTATTTCATGGATATTACTTAACAATGACAAATTTTGATACAAATTTTTATTCCATGTTTAAGTATACATATTTATACAAACTTTCATCCCTTATTTGACCCCCTTAGGGATAGAATTCTCCAAAATCTTGAAACACGTGCTATCTTGTTTTTAACTGAACATCCAAATACCAATTTTCATAGATTTAACTTAAAAAAAAACGGATATTTTACGAAGTTTTACCCTTGTTCAATCCCCTTGAGGGTGAAATTTCCAAAAATCCTGAAACACGTATTAGTTGATTTTTAATCGAAAGCCTAAATACAAATTTTCAAGGATTTAACTTAATAAATGACATATTTTAATACAAATTATCATTCCTGTTTAACCCCCTAGAGGGTGGAATTTTAAAAAATTCTAAAACACGTGTTTCTTCATTTTTAATCGAAAGCCCAAATCCCAATTTTCATAAATATAACTTCAAAAATGACGAATTTATAAATATTTATACAAATTTTCATCCCTTGTTTGACCCCTTTGGGGATGAAATTTTCCAAAATTCTAAAACACGTGTTTTTTTGTTTTTAACTGAGAGCCCAATTACCAATTTTCATGAATTTAACTTTTTAAAAAAAATACAAATATTTTACCATATTTTACCCTTGTTCAACCCCCTTGGGGGTGAAATTTCCAAATATGGTAAAATACGTGTTTTTTTATTTTTAACCGAAAGCCTAAATACCAATTTTCATGGCTATAGCTTTAAAACTTCGAATTCACCACCCCATTTAACCCCCTTAGGGGTTGATTTTCCAAAAATCCTTTCTTATTGGATGCCTACGTTATAAAAGGTATCTACTGTGAAAATTTGAAATTTCTGTCTCCAGCGGTTTAGGCTGTGGGTTGATAGGTCAGTCAGGACAAGCCTCTATATATATATAGATTAAAACAAAAAAATGATTTGTTTTTATTGATTTCATTATTTTGACATCAGAGATGATAAATTGTTTCTCTCTCAAAACTTTATTATTATTAATTTCAGCGCATTTTAATCTTTTTATTGGAATTTTACACCAATCTATAGCCGGTTATCAGCAACTCGCATTCATAGCTGTTGCTTTCAGATAAAATCACCTGCAATTGTGGATTTATCGTTGCATAAGTCGTGAGGCTACTGATAAACTCGCAGGAAAACATTCTGCTATTTCTTATCAATTTCTAATTTAAGTTTTTTCGCTTACTTGTTTTTCAGTAATTTATTATGCATTGAGCCATAATTCTTTCTTTAAAACATCTGGTACAATAAAGTTGTTTCCTTGTGAAATTTTAAATAAACTTTGGAACAGTTTCTGAAGGAAACACAATTTTCCTACACATTTATCTTTATTTTTATTTTCTATTTTAAGTTACAGATTCTCGCTGCATTAATTTGTTGCAAAACTGGCAATAGTTGTTCTAGAAAGAACGCATATTTTTAGCAAAATGAAAATAAAAATGTCAAAACAGAACTGAATTAATTATTTTCTTATTATATTTTTTTAATTAACTTTGTAATTTTTTATAAAAGTTCGCTTTGGTGCAATTTTTTTATCCTGAAACTCGCTCGATTTAGAATTTGTATTAGTTTCCCTTTGCTTTTTGCTCTCGCACATTGATATTTCCACCCGAGTTGACTTCAAAACCCCGATCCTTTGCAATTACATCCTTTTTCCTTTACCTGTATTGGCAGACATCGGGATGTGACTTCACCACTGTCACCTGACACGATCCAGTGCCGTCATATTGATTGGGATAACCCCCTTGAACGAAATAAGTGCCGTTTTCTCGGATCGTCGCTCCGCAAGTCGCTAAAACTGAAAGAGATTTATCAACAAAGGATTTGCATTGATTTGGTTGGGCTGTGTGAGGATAATTAATTGAAAGGATGGACACTAACACATGCAACATGTCCCGAAGCCGCCGGCACATGGACCATTCACTGTTCCTCCTTTTTGGGCACATTCGGGGGCGGAGACGCAGGTGCCGTTGTCGCCGGTAGCGCCGGTGCAGATTTGGTTGTCGAATTGGACAAAGGTGAACAAAGACAAAACTGAAAAAACCGTTTTACTTTTTAAATTTAATGATCCAACGACCAAATATAACAAGAATTCTCGAAATTATATTTCCAAAACAGTTATGATTTGTTATTGTTATTGTCCTACTCCGAAAAATTGAAGGAACAAAAAATTTTCCTAAATTTTTTGGTAATTTTTGAAAGGCTGTAATTTATCGAAAAATGGTCTTATCTAGATTAAAAAAAACTATTTTGGAACTTTAAGTTTCTAGTTTTGAGATCTTTTGGCAAATATTTTTTCAGTGCTACGGTGTTTATGATTTTTTTTGCAAACTTAACATTGTTTTAAAGAAAATAAAAATGTAAATCTACCGCGGAGATACTAATGTTTTTAGGTGTTTTTACAGCTCACCAGGGCCGTAACCAGGATTTTATTTTGAGGGGGTTTCTTGTTGGTCCAAGAAAATGGAATGAAGGAAGGCAGATTGAAAAGCAAAAAAGCATTGCTCATCTTTAAGTACACGTTTTTATTTTTAATAAAGACAAAAGTTTTCTTTTAACATGTATCGAAAAATGCTCCTTTTTTTCCATTTTTCGAAACTGGTTTATTATAAACCCCCTAATTTCCCCTCTTGGGTACTGCCCTGCAGCTCACTGTATTCTCTCATAGCCCTGGTAAGTTTTAAATCGATTCATCAAATCGTTTTTTCGGACCGATTGATTTCTGAACATTGCCTAGTCGTCATCTAAATAGAAAAAACGACTTTTTTTACAATTTTGTATTAGTTATTTGCTACAAATCAAAAATAATAAACAAAAATTGTTTTTTGATTTTGTTTTTTGAAAATTTGTAAAAACATTCAAAAAAAAATACTGCTTAAGTTTTGAAAAAAGAAACCAGAAAAATGGTTTAGATTTTTTTTAATTTGGAAAAAAATTCAAGGAACAATACTAATTAATTTTTGAAAAATTACCGTTGTAGATACCCTTGCCGACAGTTATTTATCAAAAACTTGTGAAACCTCAGGTTCTGCTGCTGAAATAGCATGTCATCGAAAACATAACAAATATAAGTCTATCATTTCTTCGAATTATATTTTTAAAGGTTTGGCTTTTGAAACTTTAGGCCCTTGGTCTAAGGAAGCTTTTGATTTCCTCAATGTAATTGGTAAAAAGCTGATATCTGTTTCTGGCGAAAAAAAAGCTAAACAATACCTGTTTGAGAAGATTTCCCTTGCAATTCAACGTGGAAATGCTGCTAGCATTCGGGGCACCTTCTCAGAGTCCGCCTTATTAACCGAAATTTTTGTTTTGTAATTTTTACTTATACTTATGTTTATTTTATTTATTAAATTGATATATTCACTGAAAAAAATTGTTTTTCTTATTTTGACGAAGAGTAGACAATGTTTAGAAACAAAATGTAGAATTGTTCTTTTAATTCTTTTGTAAAACTTTGATCAATTGGTCTGAGAAAACGGTGTGATGGATTGATTTAAAAGTTTACAGGGCTATTACTGCAAGGTACATTAAGCTGTAAAAACACCTAAAAACATTAGTCTCCTTATCAATATTAGTGAATACGCGGTAGATTTACTAAAACAACGCAAAAAGTTACTTTTTTTCCTTTTCTTTAATTCAATGTTAAAGCTGAAATTTTTTTTTCATAAAATCATAAAAGGATGTTATAAGACATTTATTCCAATTTTTGACACTACCATTGTATTCTCTGTGTGGTCATTGGTTGCTGAGATATCGATGATCAAAGACAAAAGGATCTTTATTCATTTAAAGTCAGATATCTCAGCGACAAATTGACGTAAAGAAAATATGAAGAAAGCATATTAAAGGTAAACAAACATGCTATCCGGCCTATACATTAACTTAACTAAAAAAAATCCCACGTTCGTTCGTGAACCAGAAACCAAACATAAAAATTTAGTTTTTTTTTCACCCTATTACTTAGAATTGCGTGACAGAAAAAAATGTCAAAACTAGAAACGTAAAACTTCAAAATGTTTTTTTTTAATCTAGATACGACCATTTTTCGATAAGTTACAGCCTTTCAAAAATCACCAAAAAATTTAAGAAATATTTTTTGTGCCTTTCATTTTTTGGAGTAGTGTATTTAAATTACATTTTTTTTTATGAAAAAAAGACAATTGTAGAAAAAAAAATGATCTGTTATGTTTAGCATTTATAAATACAATAGATGGCAAAAAAAATATGTGTTTTTCAAAATTACATCGATTTATTGAGAGTAATTTAAATTAATTCGGAATTATAGAAACTAATTTGAAAACAATAAAATTAAGTTGAATTTGTGGAACTTCTTTGAACTTTCGTGTAATTTTTTATAATTATGACTCAAGTTTTTTTGAAAAACTGAATTCGTTAATTTTCACTCACATCTGCTTTGTCTCGAATTGGCCAAGAACGGATTTATCATTTCTTTAATCAGATTCCTCTGTCTCTTTTGCGGCGCTTTTTGCGAAATTTCACTTTGGGCAAACCCGACCACAAACACGCAAACAAAAATTTTCAACAAATACATAATGCACGACGAAACAATTCTTGCCGACCTTTTTGACAAAATGCTCTCTTTCATCCTACTTTTCCACCTTATAACAATTTTCCTCTCTTTAATATGAGTTGAAGTCAGTGGCGTGCTTCAACTTTTGTTTAAAGAAATTTTTTCGAGTTAGTGGAGCAAAAAACGCCGTCGCTGTTTTGTCGCATACATGGCCAGCCAAGAAACAGAATGTAACTCGGATGAGCGCTCTGAAAGAGCTTTTTGTTTCAGTGTGAAAGTGAAAGAGTGATTAATTATAACAATGGTGTGCGCATCACGTAAGGATTGTGATAATGTAAGAATAATCGCGGTTTAGCAGAGGAAAAAACTGGATGAATTAAGAATCTTTTCCTTATTGTTTTTTGTGTTTCAAGCTGGTTTGATTTCGGCCCAGATTTGCGACGATGGAAATTTTGGATTTTTTAATTAACTCGGTTGAATACCGTTGAACAATGGATTATTTTGATGGTAGATGAGTTGAGGGAAAATTGACAAATTATGGACGGCGACGATTTGTTAAATCGGAACAATTTGTTCACTTGGGATCTCATTGGAGTGCAGAGTGGTGGAAATAGCAAATTAGGGGATGGCTGATTTAATAATCGTTTTCCAACAAACAATTATTGGTGCAAGTTACCAAATTACAAAACACGCAATATAAAAATTCGTCGCAACATTATTTAAAGTATGTTACATATCCAGTCAGTTCTATAGGCCGTATAAAGTTACTGTTTTTTTTTGTCGCTTATTATTAAAAAAAACTTTAGAAAAAATATATTTAATTAATTTTCGTGCAACAACAACTTGTAGGTAGAATAATAACAAAGCAGAACAGTCGTTAAGGAAAACATAAAAAATTATGAAAAAGACATAAATATATTAGGGTAATTAAAAAATACATTTTATCGTGAATGTGCAAATAAAATTGTATGGAAAAGTAAACAACAATAATTTATAAAAGTAAACAAAACGACATATTCATCTGATTACAATAACGGTTCCAGTTTATAAACAGTTACATCTATATTCTCAAATTGTAACAAACAACACCAAAAAATATGAAACATTCTTGCTTGACTTTTACCTAATAATAAGTTGAGTAAAAATAGAAAATATCTCGTCAAAATTATCTAAAGATAAGTTTAGAAATAGGTCAGGTTTAAATTTAGGTTTGCATATAAAGGACAGTTTTCTTCTAAATCTGTAGGAATAAGAATGCATTTTTTTAATATGACTTTGTTATAAATGTAAACATGAAATAATCTCTTACCGAAATATATATTTTATTCATAAAAGTAGATATAAAACTGTAAGCGGAAAAAATTGCAGCATGAAGTTTATCATAGCAGAAAAAACAATTTCTGGAAGCTTTCACGCTTCAAGTGGACACGTGTTGAAACTTTTCAGTTATTTTTTATTCATGACAATTATTCATCCGTTTTCTATTGCTCCAGACGCATATTTTCTAATGTTTATTTCACTTGTACTCGTATATTCACTGTTTTGGAATGTTTTATCTGTGATAAATTTGTATAATATAAATTAAACTATAAAAATAAGTAAATATTTCAACAATTTTCCTAAAAATGTTTGAAACTTAACGAAAGAAGTAATAAGCTGTGATAAATAAGAAAAAAAAGTATAAAAAAAATCAATAACAGTACAGTAAAATACATAAACTAGTTGTAACGTTGAATAATTTTAAAACTTTAAATTACGTTTAAAAATACAAAATAAAAACCTTCAAGTGTAATAATTCTCTGAAGCTCGATTAGTTTTCAAACTCTGGAAAGTAATAAAAATTAAATGAAAGTCTAATAGACTTAAAGTGTATTGAAAGTTTTAAGTTGCTTAATGACTTCAAATAAATAAGATTAAAAAAAATGTAAGATAAGTTTTACTAAAGTTTCCATTAAAGAAAAGCAGTCTACAATTTCACATTTATTCATAAATGTGACGATTTCTATCTAAAATCGCTTTAGTGAGCGTCATCTGTTAGTAAGTGTCTAAAAGTAATTTAGAGCTAGCTGCTACGGTTTCTGAAACTGAAAACATTTGTTTCTCCATGTGCCACCAGATGACAGCATACATATTATTTTCAGAATTATATATTAAATTTTAGAGAATAATTTTCTTTTTAAAATTGTGAAAACCACTAAATTTCAAGATGAGAAATAAAATGTAAAAGGTGTTACTCTGATAAGTTTTCAGGTAAAAGCCACTAATTTTACACACTGTTAAATGAACAATTAACGATGTTGTCCCGCGTATTTATAACACCAGCAATTCATTAAGAATTGTCGATAAATACATACAACCAACCGTGCGAGATAAAAAGAGCGCTCTGTTATTACTAATAATAACAATAAAATAGTAACGAAGCTTTCGTGCCAGCAGACAGTTTCCGTTTACGATGTCGAAAAGCTGCTTGATTAATTTATTCAGTTTGTTTTAAATTTATGTTGCGTATAGGGAGAATGTTAATTCTTCGCTTGGACGTTTTTTGATATAAGCAGAGCGCTCTGCTGGAACTAAAAAAATATTTATACAGCTTTGAACAAATTTGGACTTGAAAAGGCGGACTCGTGGACATGCTAAGTGGCTCATTAAAAAGTGTGGAAATAAACGAATCTTTTTTACCAATAAATAACGAGTTGTTTAATAAAAATTAACAAGAAATATTCATTGAAATGTAAATATAAAAGATACGCAGCTGTTATAGTAGGTGCATACTAAAGTTTTTCAGGATCATCAAATAAAATTGTACTACAGGAAGTAAAATCCTCTGTAAGCTTTTTGATTTATTGCATTTTTTATTGTGTAGTTTTTTTTACAAATAATTTTCCTGTAAAAATAACAAAGGTTTTTAATAAGGAACTTTGGGTTTTATTTATTTATTTTTACAAATAAGCTATTAAGCATTATTTTACATATACATTATTAATGATAATCTAAAGTTTAAATAATAAATTTAAAATTTTCATACATTGAATCTGTTCGAATTTTTGATAATAGTATATTAATATACTGAACGTCAAAAATTTCAGAAATATAATTGTTATGTTTCAAATTTTAGTTTTAATATTTAATACAAGCTGATTTCACCTTTTGTGAATAAACATACGCATACTTGCATGTTTCTTCAGATAAAATCAGTTATGCATGGCACAGAAAAAGAAGGTAAATTAAAAATATGCAGAACATCATATGTGTCCATTTTTAGCACAAAAAATGTAAGAAAGTGTTTTAAATATTTGAAAAATAAGGCATTAAAGTTTAACCTTTTTATAACGAATAAGTATATAATTTAGTGCAAAAAAATATTTTAATATTACACAAATATTCTCACTTCACGCACCATTTCCTTCACCTTACGGACATTTTTCAATTTTAATATTAACATATGGGTCCAGAAAAGTACTTCTTTACAGACTATTTCGTTCATTTTAAAAACGATTTAAAAAATTAACATTTTTACATAAACCTATATTCGAAAAAAAAAGTTATAAGATAAATACTGCAATCTTGCAATACATAAATTAAACAAACAGTATATTTTAAAAAGAAATTCGACAGAAATATGACTTACTGTGATAAATTATACTTTTTTATAAAAGCAGAATTAAAATGAAATTATTAAGTAAAATAAAGAAAAATAATATGATTTTGTAAACTACAAACAATTTTAAAATTTTACTTTTAAATAGATGGAGAATTTTAAACCAAATTTTGTGTAATCCTTTCTACTATAAACTGATATTACATTTTAAATAGTTATTTATTCTTCGACACTGTCAAAATTTACAGTTTTTCTCCCGTGTAAGGAAGTTTTGACAACTGTTTGGCATTTCTCAATACAAAACGTCAAATTATTTGACTCTAATTCGAAGAATAAAATGTTGTATTTCACTCGTTTGTGTGTAAATCGGACGCTTTATTCCACCTCGTGGATGGTAAACTACTCGTTACACTCGTGGTTTAAAAATCCACTCGGTCAAATAAAGAGTCCGATTTACACTCAAATTCCTCGAATAAATAACTATTAATATTCTAATCTTGTAATAAATAAATAAAAATCTAAATTGTAGATAAAAAATATGACTTTTTGTGTGAAGACTAGTGTTTGATAGAAAATTAAATACAAAACGAGAATTATTCTTTTTCTGGAACAAAAGAGTTCAAATAAGAAATAAAGAGAAACAGAAAGGAAAAATCTTTGAGAAATTCTTGAAATAAGTTTTGAATATTTATTATTTTTTTACAATGCTGATTTACTATATAGAGTGTTTCTAGAATGTTCATTGTGCGACTGTATCAAAAATGTTAAATATATATTTTTTAAATTAAATATTTTGAAATTAAATTTTTTGTCACTTTGATGAGAATTTCAATTTGAAAATGTGGTACATGTGTTCAGGTAAGGTTGTCTGATTATACATGTTAGAGGCACATAGAGTGAACTATAACAACACGTATTAAAGATTCATGGGAAGTTATAATTAATTAACTATATACATTTATGTTAATAAAATAGTAACGCAAGCATGAAGTACTAAATTTTACGTCTGACCTTCTCGGAAATCGCCTAAAAACGTGAACGCCAGTCACACAATCCTCTTCCTTCATATAATTTACCCAATTATTTAAAAAATGCACTTCTGGGAAACGCACTACCTATGAGTAGGCTCAGATTAAAACCAACTTCTCGTGTAACACTAGATTCTAAATAACGGTAAAACCAAATAAAAAATTAATAAATTTCTCCAATCGAACACATTAAAATTAGCATAAAACAAACATCACATTATTTCTCATCGGTTTCCAATAAGTCAGACGATAAGATCGGCAATATGAAAATCCGGAAGGCCAAACAAGAACATAGATACACTATCAAATTGTGAAGTATTTCGTGCCGTTAGGACGGCACTTAAGCCACGTATTTGAAAAATCCGCACTCAAGCCAGCTACCGAATATTTTCAAA